ACTCCTAGCAATGGAAATAAAGCAAAAGATTTAATAGAAGTATTAAAAGAGGCTAATCAAGTTATTAATCCGAGACTCTTGGAATTGGCTGAAAATAAATCCTACGGAAGGAAAAGTATATAAATTCGTGTATTTATATTATTAAAGTTTTGAAAAATAAATACATTTACACATCGACTCCATGTATTTTTTTCAGTAAATTATCGTAGTCGATACAATAGGATAGATAGAGAACCACGTTTCAAATCCGATATTAGAGATAAAAGTAGATCATCGAGTGTTTCCAGTGCGTTGTCTAGGTCTAGGTTTCGAAGGTCAAGTACATCCGAATCTAGTTCGACATCGAGTTCAAGGTCTAGATCTAAATCGAGAGGAAAATGTAGGGCGAGTTACCGCAGAAATCGTTCGTCATCTTCAACGAGTTCTACCTCATCGGTGAGATCACCCCCCGTTCGAAAAAAGAGACGAAGGAGTTATAGTTATTCAAGTGGATCTCGATCGCGGTCAAAATCAAATTCTTCGTCTTTATAATTTTACGTTAAAACTTAATAAATGAAATTTATTATTGTATAAGTAATCAATTTTTAAAACAATTTGAATTGTTTGTAACAACGTTTCACAAAATGAAATTAAAAAAAAAGTTTAGTTTTTTTGCTGTAACAATTATTATTATTATTAACTCCATTTTTTAATATGGATTAATTGAGTTCGTGGTAAGATTTTTAAAAAATTTTGTCTTTTATTAGAATTATTGTGTACCTTTTTTAAGTGTTTATTTTAATTAACTTTTTGGAACGAATAAATTAAATTTTTAAATTCAATTGAAATTTTTTTTTTTTTTAAATCTTGTGATTTAAAATAATATTTTAATAAAATTGATAAAACTTTATAGTACATTATATATATTTTTTAAATAAATAATGTATTCATAATTATGAACTCTTTACATTAAAAATAATTTTTTTTATTTTAAAAAATTAACAATAATCAAATTTAACAAATTTTTAAATTCTTAACTACGTTTGAAATTTATTCGTTTTTGAAGTGTTTTTAGAAAAGTTGGCAAACCTGGAACTTCAACTGTCATTGTAGCAGAATACAATTGAAACGAACAACTATGGTTTAAAGCCAGATTGTTACAATTCTTTGTTTGTAAAAGTGGTTAAGTAAATTATTACACACGTATTCTTAAAAAAAAAAAAAATAAAAATTGTAAATAACTAAACGTTTTATTAAAATGTCGGTAGCGCCAGTTATAGTAGCGGCTTCTGCAAAACATACAGCCACAGTAAGTAAATTTATAATTATTAATTTGTACTGAAAAATTTTTTGGCATATTTTCATTTTTATACTCAAACATTTAATAATTCTATGAGGCTTATTTCATATTTATCAGATTTTATATTTAATAAGTATTTATTTATGTGGTATAAAAAATTTGGAAAGTATTGCATTTTCAAAATCTATTATTAACTGTTATTGGTAAAGGGTTTTTCTGACAATAAAAATATCTTCTATTAAAAAAAAAAAAAAAAAATTTTCATTCTGTAAAATTTATATTTTTTTAATATATTCTTGATAATTTTCTAAAAATTAATTATTTAACTTACTGATTTATTGTATTTTTTTTTCCTTTAGATAATATTTTTGCATGGACTTGGTGATACAGGGTATGTTTAATTATTTTTTAAATTTATATTGTGTGCCTTTTACATGTTTATCTTACTCAAATGGAGATTTCCTGTGTATTTCTAAGAGTAACTAAAAACTGTAAACTATATTTTTTTCAGACATGGTTGGTCATCTGCCATCTCGTCAATCAGGGGACCTCATGTCAAGGTTATATGCCCAACTGCGTAAATGTCATTTATTTATATATTCAGCACATATTATATTATTCTTTTTGTATTTGTGCTTATATAACTGAATTTTTTCAGACCAACTATGCCAGTATCATTAAATGCTGGCTTTCAAATGCCGAGTTGGTTTGATTTAAAATCATTGGATGCAAAAGGACCTGAAGATGAAGAAGGTATTAGAAAGGCAGCGTTAGGAGTTCACGAATTGATAAATAATGAAGTTGCAGATGGAATAGAACTTAACAGAATTATGTTAGGAGGATTTTCACAAGGAGGAGCTTTGGCTTTATACTCAGCTCTGACTTATCCAAAAAAACTGGCTGGTGTTATGGCTTTAAGCTGTTGGCTTCCACTGCATAAATCTTTTCCAGCATCTGTAAGTCTTAAAAAAAACATTTTTTCTCATTTAACGAAAAAGAAATTTTTATTCGCGTCCAGTAGAATTCAAACTTTGACGATTTACTTTAAAACAATTTTTTTTTCGAATTTACACATAGAAATATATATTTAATTAATTGTTTAGGCCGTTCAAGGTAATACAGAAATTCCCATTATTCAATGTCACGGAGACAGTGATCCCATTGTGCAATATAAATGGGGCCAAATGACTGCATCCTACTTGAAATCGTTTTTAAGTAATGTCGAATTTAAAACATACAGAGGAATGATGCATAGTTCATCGGAAGAAGAAATGAGCGATTTGAAAGAATTTATTAACAAAATTATGCCCCCAATTTAATTCTCCCCCCCAACTTTATTTTAATTATTTCATTGTGTTTAATAATAAAAAATTCTTCATAAAAAACAAAACAAAATAATAATAATAATAATATTTCACTTAAGTAAACGAAATTAATTTTAATACTCTGCAAGCTATATATGAATTCAATTTAATTTTTTTTTTTTTAAGTTGTTCGAGTTTGATATTATTATTTGATTTGAAATATTCGAATCACATTTTGATTTTAATTACTTTTTAGTTATTTTTTTTGTTAGTAAAATCTTTCAAATTAAATGTACTGCTGCTTATTTTATTCCCAGCACTTTTTTCGCCGATCAATGAGGTTTTATATAACTTAATATTATTATTAATGTATTTTTAAAAAAGATAGGAAAAAAAATTATTAAAACTTACCGTGGATTTTTTTTTTTTTTCGTCAAACACATTTAAATTAATCAGAAATAAGACGATCGAGATATTAAGTAATAATTTTTTTTACTTTAAAATATTATTTTACGTTATTATTATAATTTAATCAAGCATTTATTTCTCAGTATTAATTTATTTGGTTTTAATATACTCGGGTGTTATATTTTTGCAGGCATTTAATTCTTTCATATATATATATTTTAGAAATTGATCGTATAGAATAATTATAATTTGATATTTTTAAAAAGAATACAAATAATATTATCAAAAAAAAAACTAAATATTAATAAAAAGAGATTTAAAAAAGTACAATGACGTCATCGATATTTATTTTTTTAGTAAAATTATTCGGAAATTAATAATAATAATAAATCAGTTTAACGAAAAACTTTAAAATTTTTTTTTTTTTTAGCTAAATTATAATTTAATTAACGGTAATTGTACAAGTTAAAACAGATCAAATTTTTTGTAGTCATTTTTTTTTTTTTTTACTTAGAAAGTAAATTATATATTGAAATATTAATATATATATATATATTTTTTTTTCGTCATTAAAATAATAAGTAGTATGATTAAAAAAAATTATTTCAAAATTATTTAACCTGTTTTAAAAAAAAAACAAGAAAAGTATTCCAAGTATTCGTGGTTGTGAATTAAATAAGAAAAAAAAAACTTATAAATATTTATTATTATTATTATTATTATTATTATTATTATTTTCTTAAATTTTAACAAATTTACAAAAGTTTTTTTTTTTTTTTTTTATTGCATTTATTCCTCTGGCACGGTTAGTTTGGCAAATTTGTAATTTCTTTGAGTTGGATTTTTAACCAAAACCTTTAACGACGTTGAATTACATTCGTTGACCATTTTGATGATTTCAAATAAACTCAAAATGGAAACATATCCCAATCCCGACGAATTCCCTGAGGATAAACCAAAATCTCCTACCGTAACGTATCCCATTAATGTTCTGGATGGAAAATTTATTATGTTATTTAATTCCGAGAGATTTGGAACCCAATTGGATTCTTTTTTAGAATTTTTTGATGATGATTCTTCGACGGTATCACGTGTATTTTCTTCACGTTTAATCGGTAAAGGTTCTTGCACGTGATTTTGTTCTTCGTCACGTATATTTTCATTTATTTTTTTTTTATTTATATCAGTATGAATTTTCTCTTCCGGTTCTTTACCACTTAACAAATCTTCTTTTTTCGGCAAACAAATTAAAGCTAAATCCGTTGGTTTACCTTTTTTAACAAATTCTATAACTACTGGAATTAAACAATTTTCTCCTGCGGCATCCATTAATTTTTTCATTGTGGAAAAATTAAAAGTTTGCGGTTTATTAACGACTTCCCTCAATTCTCTCAAATGTTTTTTATTTCTCAAAACTTTATAATTAAATTTATTATGAATTTTTTTATCGTCAATTAAATTAATCCAATCTCTAATCAATAAATCCCAAGCACAGTGGAAGGGTGTAGGACTTCTTAGTTTAATAAAATTGGTTCGAGCATTCGGAGGTAAATTACGGTAACGATTTTTATAAAATTGTGCCAAATTATCGCTCGTAATTTTTCCCGCCTCACTATCCGGTTGAAAATAATAATTAAAATTTCTACATTCGAAATTAAGGAGTTCGATTTCTCTTAATCCTCCAATGTGTACATTTTTAATAGAAAAAGCTTCTAAAATTGCTGCACCATATTCTGCTGGACAAATTATATCGAAACCGCTACCGAATCCTTAAAAAAAAGAAATAAATTATTGACTGCAAATTTAATAAGGAAAACATAACTAATTACTAACTTACCATTTGGTCTATTTTTAATATTTGCAGTTCCAGGCCTTTGAACTAATAGTATTGGGATTCTTGGTAAATTTGTATCCGGGATAACACTATTCGATGCACCACCAGGAACTATTTTTTTTGATCTCGCTTTATTTATTTGTACCTGAGATAATTTACTCATAGAAACTTCATCCCTTATATGAGGTTCCCAAATTGGACTATTAAAAAAAATTGATTCAAAATAATTTTCAAGGATTGATGGTGATTCTGCAAATAAAAACAAAAAAAAAAATGAATAAAAAAAAAATTAAAAAATTGAGAATTAAAAATTTAAAAAAAAAATTACTTTTTAATGGTTCAATTTTTTTTTGAATACGTTCAGGCATTGTCAATCTGGGATCACCAATAACTAATGGTATTACAGAACCAGAAGGTATGTCAGTAGGTTTAGTACATTCATTTAATGTAAAAAAAAATTTTTTTTGACTATCCCAACTTTTTTTGTTTGTTTCTTCTCTATAATATTCTTGCCACCATTTGGATTTTTTCTCATAAGTTTTTTTCAAGTCTGTATCTTGTTTGATTTTTTTTTTAGATGGTTCGTAATCATTGTCTGTATCAATTACTTCTTTTGATTTATTATTATTATTTTGTATTTCGATTAAGTTAAAAACTTTACAAATAACATTTTGTGAAACTGGTCCTGTAACCTGAAATCTATTTAATGTATCTTTTAGTAGAGTCATGGTTATTAATTGATCTTCAGACACAAATTTTGGTGTTTTATCAAAAGGAACATTCTTTATTTTCGACTTAATATTCATCAAATCCATATCTTTATTAAGATCGCTCGAGTTTTCCGTTTTTATTGTTTGTATTTCAGTATTATTTTTATCAATATCTTTAGATGTATCACATTCTTCAATATTTTTAAGTTTGAATAACTTTTCAAGACATTTTTTGACAGAAAAATGAATTAATGGATGAACCCAAATCCAAAGAGTTCTTTTCGAGTCTAGATTATTATAAGGCTTCCAGATAAATGATAAATGTCCAATTATCCCTTGAGGATATGAATCAGGGTAAAAAAATGGAAGATGACCTTCTTTTTCACCATTTAAAAATATTTTTGCTCCAAATGTCAATCCACAATCAGGAGATGTACATTTTTTTAAATTTTCTAACAATTTGATTTCAGGACCTTCCAATTGAATACAATTGTAATATGAAATATCTGTTAGAATTGCATTTCTACAAATTGCTCTGTATAAACATCTTAAATTTTTAGTAGTACATTTTTCAGGAATCATATACCCCCATTTAGAAGTCATGTGAAATCTCTTAGCATGCCAAATGTGAGTTTCAAGCCATGTATTTTTTGTCTGTCTTTGGCAATACTCTTGTTGTAAATTACTTGGTCTTCTTCTAAATTTCCTACTGGGACGTTTACCAGGACCAGGCACTTCATCGTTACTCTACCAATAAACATTATATATGAATAAAAATTAAAATCATCGAAAATTTTCTATTTATTTAAAAGATAAAAATTATGAAATTGAAAATTTAGAATTTTCTGCAACCTGTGTGCCCTGAAGCCTTCTAGGTAACTTTTTTGAGTAATGGCTCATTTGCCTTCTTCTTAAATGTTTGGGTAATCTTTGAAATCCTTGGCCTCTAAAAGGTTTTTCATTAACGGCTTCAGTTAACATGACAACTTCTTCCATTCTGTGTTTTAAAAAATCTGATACATTGTAAGTAGCAGGTAAAACTTGCCTACCACCTAATGTACTGTCAAAATTTTGAAAACAGTTATTCATTTTGACTGGTATTTAAATTGGCTTTTATTAAATAAAAAAACAATCAAAACTTAATTGTTATATTAGCTCTAAAACCTCAATAGTAATCTTATTTTTTAAAAGCACATTAGTTGGAATTTCAGTTAATATAGACGTGGCATTAAATAAAATTTTAAGTTCTATTAAATGTCTTTGGCGCCAATTTATTTTATTTATTTTTTAAAACATGAAATGTATTGAGTTCAATATTGTTTGTGTAACAATTATTTAGACTAATTATTACTAGGTAAATATTGTGATTTTTTGGCTCTGTTACATAAAATTTTATTTTTGATTTTAATAATGCAAAAATATAAAAATACACAATACAATATATAAATACTTTGAGTGTGTGTATCTTTACTTGTAAAGATACTATAGATGGATATTTTACTTTTAAAATTTTTAGATTAAAAGTCTCACAAGTATTCTCAAATATTACTTAAGATTCATTCAAGAAAAAAGAATAGAAAAAAATTACTATATTGAATTATCACGGTAAAAACGTATTAATTACTAAAGAAACATAAAGCATTGAAGTTCAAATGCTTTTATACCAATTACTTATTTGTCAGAAGTTTTTAATAATATTATATGCAAAATAATGTACAAATAATAATATAATATAATATAATATAAACACAGAAAACATTTTAACAGTTGATTTAATAAATAAATTATTGAGTGAACCAGCAAAAATAAAATATTTCAATGAAAAATTTTAGTCATTAATAATAATAATTTTAGCTTGCAGGTTGTACATCATCCCTCAAAATGGAGAAAAGAACCAAATAAAAGCAATTTGTAATGTGGCTATTTTAAAATGAAAAATTGATAAAGCCTCATCAAGAATTTAAACTAAAGTGGCTAAAGAAAAAAAAACCACAAGAGAAGTTTTTAAAATGGGAAATCGGAAGAAATAAACATAATGAAATGAAGGAATATGAGCTTCATATATGCAGCAGCAAAGTGTAAGAAAATTACTACTAACTCAATTTTTTTCAAAATCAATACTATAATAAAATAATTTTTTAAGTTTACAAGAAGACAAATTTTAATAAATTTGTTTTTTTTTTTTTTCTATGTAGATACAAATGGATAATAGTCGCTGAAAAAAATCTGACAAATGAACTGAACTTGTCGATTGTAGAGAAAAAACTAAAATTCAAATAGCAAGAATACAAGATTCGAATTGATGAAGTTTTATTAAGGTAATATAAAATTTAAAAAAAAAACTTTGATTAATACAAAAATAACATTTATTGTTTTGAAATTTTGTTTTCAAACAAATCGATATTTAAAAAAAAAATACTAATAAAATAAAACATCTTCAAAATATAAAGATTTATATTATATTCAAGCAGAAAAAAAAATAATAATAAAAGCTCTG